AAAATCTAAATGGATAAACTTATTATAAAAAAAAAAGGTTAGCTTACCTCAGATATCAATGGCTTAGCATGTTCTTCCCACTCAGTATCCCACCTAGCTGAGGAACTCGTTTCCAATGCACCATTTCTTAGAGACTTTAGAGCATTACATTCATCAGGAAATCCCCTGAAGAGCATCTGCAAAGTAATGTAGGAAACTAAGAACAAATTGCAAAGGGTATCACAAAGTCCTCAAGCAGCATGTCTCAACCCAACTACAGTATGAAACTGAATATAAATTATTTGCTATGATCTTAGTTTTAACCTTCAATGTGCTAAGCCTGAGATGTAACTCATCATAAGACACCAATAAACTTGATGCTGAAAATTATAGTTGCCAGGGCTTCCATGTCCAAGCAAAACCTTATGGTAAATCAGTAATGAACCAAAACTTGGCCACACAAAAAGGTCACCAATAAACAACTAAACTGAAATGAAAGCCTATTGACTGCTATGACCCATGTCCCCCAAGGTTTAGTGTGACAAGGCAAGTAAAGCTACAGAAAGAACAAATACAAGAGCAAAAGCAAACCAGAGAAAAGAAACAAGTAAGACTTGCTTATAACTAAATTAGATAACAAAGTGTCCTAGTAAGGCCCACCAATTGAACATCAATCAGATATTTTGAATTTTTTCCCTCAAATTTTTAACTTCCTCATCTCATTTAAGATTCTTGTTGTCCATGTCCATCAGTGCCAAAGCATTCTCACAGCCATTGCCTATCTTGGAAAATATAACTGGTTTAGAAGCCCCAAGAATTGTTAGTACATGCCAAAAAACAAATGAAAACTACCATGCGCTTCAACAGTTAATACCAAGTATATTAATGCAGATTGGTGACCACACTCCACAACCTTTCTCACAAAAGAGTAAGGCTTTGTCTAAAGGAACAACATCCTTGGGATCTTCCTCATATTAGGAGGACAACAGAATAGCAATATCCATGGAGCAAAACTAAAACTAATTTTAAATAAAAAATTGGTAAAGCCACTACACCATTCAAACAACTTCTCATATCTAATCAGTTTTAAGATGCATGAGTAACCATCATCTAAAATTTTTCATTATTCAGCATGCTAATATATATTCAATATCCTTAGCCTACAGGAATTTGCACACAGCTTAACTATTCCATTATATATGCAAAACTAAAGTAAAATTTCAGAAAGCTCCAAAATATATGAATTGGTCTTTTTTTTTTTTTTTGGGGGCGGGGAGGGGGGTTATTGATAAAAGGACCATGACTTACCAATAACTCATCAGCAAGCTCTGATGATGATGAGAAGAGTAGTCCATTTTTCTCAACTTTAACAAGTTCTTGAATGCTCCAGAGAAGTCAAAGCAGTAGCAGCATTAGTAAAATGAATTTAATATTAAATAGAAGAAGCATTATTCAAGCATATCCCCTGTATAAATTGAAATACTTAAATAGATGCAGAATTTACCATGAATAGGAAACAGCACATACAGCTAGTCCACAACCGAACATATCCACAACCTAATCAGAACATATGAGCAACTTTTAGAGACAATTAACACGATTGCAGGAAAGTGAGAGATTGCTGCAATTTTTTCTTTTTTCCTTTTCCCTATAAGTCTATTAGGGAAGAAAAAAATGGCACACCTTCATAGGAAGGTCTAATCCTGATGAGGAAGTATGCAGACAAACACCCAAGTCTGCTGATCCTGCAAAGAAACAAAGAATTGAGTACGCAAAACCAGTAGCTGGGATGAAGAAAACAAAAGAAAACTGATAAAATTTAACCTACCAAGAAGCAATGGATAGTCCTCAGCTGAAAGCCACATCGTACGGAATGCAACACGTTTGAGCGTTAAATATTTAATCTTCTCCCCATATTTTTCCTTTTCAGGTCCTTTTCCTAAATTAACAGTTGTAGATTCCAAGTCAAAAGGTGTTCATTATCAATGTAGACGCTGGTGCTCCAAAGGCAAAGACAATTACCTGTAATGATAAACAACAATCTTGGATACAAAAGCTGCTTTCCATTAGAGATCTCCTTCCAAAGAACCCCTTCATCAGTGGAATCATTCTCATTTAATATTGCAGCAACACGGCTATCATACATAACTGCTGCTTCCAAGAGAATTCCAAAATCTTCATCTGGTGTCCTGGAAAAAGATGATTCCATAGAATGAACTGTTTTGACAGCCTGAAAAAGACTTTAATTATATGGTAGATATCTCATGCAGTAGACATATTTCTTAATTCGAATGAATTGATCTTAAAATAGATCAGAAAATATACTTTCTTGGGTAAGTTATAAAGGTAATATGTAGTTTGCATGTGTCCAGAGAACTTCAATAGACAAAACTAGGGGACAAGAACTTATCATTAAGAGACAATTCAGTGTCAACTGAAGATACTCATGCGATGAGAACTTCAATAAAGAAAATTTGGGGAGAAAAAATTAGCATTAGCAGACAATTCAGAGTCAGCTGAGTGCATTAGAGAACAAGCATAACTGTATAAACAGTCGATAGGAAGACCAAATTTGGTCCATATTGGCATTCCATATTCCACTGATATTAATCAACTCTCGGTTGATAAAAATAAAAATAAAAATGAAACTCATGTCAACTCCAGTTAATTCCTACCAGAAAAAAAGTCTAGCTGATAGGAAAAGATCTATGCATGGTCAAGCAAAGGCTACACCCAACAAACAAGATTATGATAACTGATGGACATGCTTGGAAGACACACAGATTGAAACATAGGCTGGCAAGAAGTACTATCTATAGGACCTATTTAAAAATATGACCTTACCAGCTAGTACTGCTAACAATAAGTGCTGGTCTGTTCTGCTTCAACAAGAAGTCATTGCCAATGTGACTTGTAAATAGTGTTTCATCCCCAAATTCCATACTTCCTGCATTAAGAATGCGCATTGGGAACAGCACAGTGCAAATAAATTCAATGGAAATTGATGACTTATTTGCGAGAAGACTTACCAGTGCTTACACAGTCTCTAACACCAATAGGATGGCACAGATTTTCATTCAATCTACAAAACAACTAAGGAACCATGTTTTAGATATAATTCTTTGACTGAATTATTTAGGATAAGAAGTTAACCGGGATCAAATATTTCACCTTATGTTTCTCTTCAAGTGAAGTTGGATGGAAGAAAACAGGTGGCTGATCATATAAGACTGTGGCCCTAATAATTTGGTAAGGGCAGCAAAGAACTCATTATTAGACAAATTATCATAGAATTTAATACTGTATGAGTAAAGAAAACATGAACTGTGAGCTAATCATCTTACCTAATTCCCCAATTTTGTGCTAATTCATGTTGCATTGCCCTTGTTACACACAACGAACCATTTGCCATTTTCCCATAATGCTTCTCAAACCTGATGTTATCAGAAAAAGACATCAATCATACAACAAAATTGATCATCTTCACTTGACTGAAATTAAAAGGCAAATATCTTCTACCAACGATATACAGTAACAAAGCGACTACTTCTTCCCAAGGACAAGCCAAGAAGGGTGTATCCAAAATTATGCCAATCTACGATGAATGCAGACCGCCTCAATGAGCTTGCCCATTTTACAGCCACTAAGGTTGGAGCAGAAGGAGGATTCTACAGAAGAGAAAAAAAAAAAAAAAAAAAAACGTGAATGTTTAACAAAATTTGAGAAGGAAAAAACAAGGAAAAAGAGAATGAAAAATCAAGACAACAATGAGAGAAAATATTAATTAATATATAACTAAAATGAAAAACATACAGCTAGATTGAGATTATGTTCTGCTGCATTTTAGAGAAAGATATAAGGTGCATACAAATGACATCTCAAAACTAGTAGATGGAATTTAATATATTTGTAGTGTCCTGAGTTATCCATCTTGGACTCGTACTAAGCTAACATTAATCCCCAGGCCCAGCCATTCATGACAAAAGCGCAATAACCCAACTATTCTATTCATTTTTTCAGAAACTTTGTATCAGGCCCATATATCATTAAAAAACAGTTATCATCCAATTCAGTTGCTCCTAACTCTGCCCTTTGCAGCTTGGCAGCACACAAAAGCTTCAAAGGGCCACATCCATAACACCAAATGCTCTTTCCTAGAACATGACTGAAATAATTCACATTTCTAATTCTTCCATGAATCTAATAGGCATATGGTTTAAACAAATCAAACATATGATTAGTGAATTTCATTCAATTTCAGAAAATGGGTTATTATAGTTAAGAGCTAGCAAACACTAAATTATGCACAAATTAAAAATGATAACTAAACTTGTTTCAAGTAAAGTTACACTCACAAATACACACACACATATGCACAACAGAAAAAATTGGCTATTAAGACAAATGGTACCTCTCTAATGAAACTTTAAAAACTCACCTGTACAATAAAACATCAGGGTGTGGAACTTTAATACAAAGAAACCGAAGCAGCATAACAAATTGAAAGATTGGCTTCAGCAAAAGTGTCAACAGGTAAAGTATCTTTGGCAAGCTTTAAGGAGTTTCGGCCATTGCTTCTGCAAAAGAGAAGAAAGAAATTCAAATGTTAAAGTTGATAGCCTTAGATAACTTAGAGTGGTTAGATTTCTCTGCATCAATACCATTGTGTGAATATGAATAGAACCATTCTCTCGGACTGTAGCATGTGGTTCAGAACCTATCCAAATATTCAAATTTACAATTCAGTTAGTAAACTAATCACTATTTGTACATTCTTGGGTAATTGTACCAAGATATAATTATAATCCAAGACTTTTGTAAACATATATAATTTTGATGCATATCCAAAATTTGAATGACAACAATTTTCAATATTTGTCAAGTGTATCTAGTGCTAAAGGCTTTCAGATCATATTGTACACAATGAATATAAAGATACAACCCTTCTAGCACAGATTAATTTAAGACTGAGTTTACAACAAAAAAATAGAAAGAGAATAGAAGCTTTTCTCATTAACGGGAAGGAATTTTTAAGAAACTAATTTAAAAAAAAAAATCAACAATGGAATATTGTATTAACTTAAGAAAAGGATTGGCATTGATAAACCAAGCAAGTACATACACATTACTCACCTCACTCTATCTTAGTTTCTACAATAAATGCTATATCATACTACCAATGTTGTATCTCTCCTTTATACTCCATCCATATCCTTCAACATTCAGAAACTTTTCCCTCCCTCAAGTTGCAATTCAATTGATTAAAGTATAATTTCCACATTTACTAGACACCATAGAACAGCAACTCATACTCTCAATAATTCCTTTCTGGTACATCTGATGATGGGCTATACAAGAGGGGATAATCCGAGGACTGCGACCAATGTCTCCTAGAACCACCACACAAGCTCTTCCGTGCCTCCGCATATTATCCTACGAAATTCAACAATTATATCAATACAGTAACAATGAGATTCCCAAGTTTCCACACTTTAAATAGAAAAGAATGACAATCACCAGCACGGTTCAAGCTAACCAAAAGCACCAAATTTACAAAAGATTTCGATCCCACTCGATCGGTTACTCTTACCGTCGGCAAAGGTAAGGTGGAAGAGAGGAAATGTCCAGCTGGATCTGGACGACGGAACGCGACGGCTACAGCAGCAAAAGCTGGGGTGACGGACGGTGAGAAAATGAGAGAAACGGCGGAGAGTAGGCCGGTAGAGGCCGGAAACAGTTTTGACATAATATAGCATTTTCCTTCCTTTTTATCTTAAAATTGGATAGGTATAATGCACTTGGCCCGCGTGTCACGATTGGCAGTGACATTGAGAAAGTACATATCTCTTCTTGCTCGGATTTTGAACCCGCCCCACAACAAAAGAATTTAAAAAAAAAAAAATTGCATAGGTATAATAAAAGTGACCTTAATTTGTTTAAAATTCGGCGTTCAACCGCAAGACATTAGCAACAAAATCCTTTCAAACTAGGGATGTCAACAGATCCGTGGGATTGGGGAGTCCCCGTTTCCGTTATTTTGAATGATGGGGATGAAGATCTTTAAGGAGATTTTTAATAAGAGGTAAATTTTACTCTTATTTCTATTTCTCACGAGGAATGAGGATCTCTGCCAGGATTCTCATTTCTCACCAATTAATATAAAAAAATAAATTTTTTATATATAATTAATTAATATTCAATTATAATAAATAAAATTTTAAAAATTTAAGTATAATTAATTAAAATTTTTTAAATATAAATTATCCAAATATAAATAAAGATCAATCTAACGTAAATAAAGATTAATCTAACGTAAATAACTAAAAGGTTAATAATAGGTTGGATAAAATTGGATTAAATTTAAATTTTATTGAATTGAATTTAAGTTTGAAGGTTGAATTAAATTTAAAATAAAACTAATTTACATGTTTTTTTTAATTTTTCGCGAGGATGGGGATCCCACGGGGCTCCGCAGGGCGGGAAAAATTCCCCGTAAATTTTCACAAGGGGAAAATACTCCCCGTCCTTGCCCTACAGGGAGGAATATTTCTCCTCGTCCCGTTCCCGTGACGGGGATCCCCACGGAACCCCACTGGGATTGGGATAAATTGCCATCCCTACTTCAAACATAGGTTTAGTCCCTAAGCCCTCCCCTGCTACGGGATTAGAAGGGATTGCATAAACATAGAATCCAGAAAACATCACTACTTCACTCATTTGATATCAACACCAAACTAGCAAAATTGATAACGTGCAAAATCATTAAACTTTGAAATTTATGATAACCAAAATGAAATCAGCATAAGTTTGACATAAAATCTTTTAGAATGTGGAGAATGGAGTGCCTGTGGCCATTAGAATGAAAGCAACAATATTGACACAGCCATATAAAGCCAATCTTGCAAATACTCGCGACATTAGAATTTAGTTAAAAATATGTCCTCAATATTCAGTAGTTGGTCTAGGTCACAACATATAATTATAAATTCAGGACTGCCTCTATGACTTCATCTAATATCTGAGGAACCAAAACCACGGACGTCCTGGTTGTGTATCTTTGTTTATTGGTTTACAGGGCAGGGAGGGGAAAACACTGGGTTGAGGTTCTAACCAACCCGGCACCATTATCCAGGGGGAAGCTGGTGGACCCTACCACTTGCTCTACTGTCCCCTGATTCGTAATGGACCCATAGTCATACATCTCTTGCATTTGTGTCATCACATCATCGTCTTCATCAATTGGGGAGAAAATGCTATGGAGATAATCGGGCTGACTTTTCCACTCTGACTCTTCCCATTCCAATGCTTCCCACCACTCCCTTTCTCCTTTGATCACTTTCAAATTTTCACTTGACATTTCCCTTTTAGAAAGACTCTTAAGCTCTGGGCAATCATAAAATCCCATCTTTTCCAGTTTTGGTGCAATGTGAAAGTCACTAGAAATGCTTTCCAATTTCGGAAGGAAAAGAAGTAGCATCATCTTCAAGCTAGGCAGAAAACAATCTAGTGCAAACTCAAAGGATGCATTGCTTGTTGGACTTACAACACTGGTCAATTCAAGGCAGTCTTCAACTACAAGCACCTCCAACTTGCCAAGATTTGTGAGCAAAGCTGGTGAGAAAATGACACTCAATTTGGGGCACACATGGAGTTCTAGGACCTTCAAGCCAGATAGACACTGCTTATCATAGGTGGGGCTTCTCCAAATGCTCGCTAAATTCTTCAGGTAATAGATATGCAAGTACTGTAGATTCAGAACTACAGGTTCTTGAGTAGAATATGCCTCAACTGCAGACTCACAATCGATCACCTCACCTTCAACTATATCAATTTTTTCTTCCTCATAAGACTTTCCTTCATCTATGATGGTTTGGATTTCATTACATTCTGCCAATAAGCAGAACTTTAGGTTCTTCATATTTTTAATCCCAAAATCAGACAAGCTTCTGGCAGTGGCATGACGTTCAAGGTAGAATGCTTTTGTGCATCCAAGTACCCTTTTCATCTCACTTGAGATATCATTGCCCTTGACAAATTTCAAGCATTTGTCCCACTCTTGAAAGTGAGCTTCAACCTTTTCTGGTACTCGAGAGATGATACGCTGTCTATGCTGCCCAACAGTATACTTGAATCTACACAAGGGATAATAGCTGAGTGATGTGCTACCTGTTCTGCGTTTTCCCAAAATCTGAACATTTGGCAGGTATAATATGAGAAGCTCCAATCTTTCCAGGCTACAGGCTTCCTCTACAACAACTTCCTCAACTGCATTCCAGTCCTCATTATCCGGATTCACATCAATTTTTAATTCCATCAACTGCAAGAGCCTTTTAATGGTCCCAGGATGAATTAATACATTTTGCTGCTGCAACTGCTTTCCACCGTTCAAATATCCGTTAAGAGATAATCTCAAAATTTTTAGATTGGAAAGTTTTCCAATCTCCTTTGGCAATTCCGCAATCTGAGTCTCATCAAGATCAAGCAAAACAAGATTATAGAGTTGTCCAACTTGAGGTGACAATTCCATGAAGAGTTTGCAGTGCCTCAAACTGAGTTCCGTAAGTGAAACCAAATTGAAAAGAGACACAGGCAAAGATCTGATACTAGTACGAGACAAATTCAAGCGTGTAAGGACAGGCATGTGCACGAAGAATGACGAAGGGATAGCCATAAGAGCTTTGCTTCCTTCCAAGGACAGAGCAACCAGAAATGGGCAGTTTGGAGATTCTGGGAGAACAGGTTTACAAACAGTTGCACAGATATTTGGAGCAATCCATTCGTCTCCTTCTGGTATCTCTGTCAGCATTTCTCCACCTTGCCTAGAACTTATATTGGTGTATCTTTCAAAACTAAATGGCAATTCATCCTCTGTTTCTATGTATGCTGGCATGTCGATTTCTTCAGGTTTGTCTCTTACAGGCTGTTGCATACATAAGATGTTAGAAAAATGCCGCCGCAGGTGCACGTAGGGGACGTGGGAAATCTTGGCCCATTTGGGGTCGCTCTCTTTGGCCCATCTTTCTTCTAATTTAGGACAACCCCAAATACGAAGAGATTGTAAGTTGGAGAGGTGTCGCATGGCTTCAATTGAAGGCAGATGAGTCAAATTAGAGCAGTTCACAATCAGCAGGTCGTGAAGAGAAGAGAGGTCTCCCAACCACTCTGGCAAAGCTTCCAGGCCATTGAAGTCCCCTAACGTCAATTGCTTGAGGGCAGTGAGATGTCGAAGCTGATGTGGCAGAGACTTTAGTTTATCCCATCCATAAAGTGTCAAAGATTTAAGGGAGGCGTGGAGTTGATGGATGGAAGTGAGTCCTGGATATTCCTCCAACTCTGACCAGAAAGGACCGATTTCTAACTCCTCCAACCTGGTATTCCTACCCAGCCACCCCTCTGGAATGCTCCTTAGATTTTCGCAACCAGTAATGGTCAAAGAGGTAAGCGAACATGATCTTCCAACATCTTCTGAAATAGAAATTAGATTGTAACACCTGACAATAGTCAACTCTTCGAGAGAGATGCAGGATTCCAGCCCTGACACACAAACCAATCCTTCACAGGCAGAAATTTTTAATGTTCGAAGAGAGATCATCTGCTTCATGCTCAGAGTCAGAGAGGACATAAAGCACTGTTCAAGGCACAAATACTCTAGAGAGCTGCACGAGCCCAGCCCACTTGGGAGAGATCCAAACTCTCTTAAGCTTAAACTTTCAAGAGATAAGAGCCGTTCCATACTTGGAAGAGTCACCAGGTTCGGACAATCATCAATAACCGCTTTTGAGAGCTTATGATGAGATGAAAATCCACTCATTGACCAAGTCTCTAACTTCGGACAATTTTCAACATCCAAATACTCAAGGCAAGGAAAGATGGTGGTACCTTCTATTTCTGCCCATTCCTCTAGGATTTCCATGCCACACATAGCGAGTCTTTTCAAAGCTGGGAACAATATGATTGATTTTTTGTCACCACAACTACTACTTGTCATGTTGCTGCCATCAAGACAAAACTTGCTGCCCATACGTTTCACCTTTGACATTTCTTCTATTTCAAGATACTCGAGCTTAGGTATAAATCCCAAACTCAGAATCTCTACACATTCATTGCAGTTATATAACTTCAAAGTCAAAAGATTGTTCAGTGCAGAGGAATTGCCAAAAAAATTAACACCAGTCTCCAGCCATGATGGAAACTTTTCTCCATTATAACCGTAAATATTCAAGTGTTTCAAATTTGAGGGAGGCCTTAGACCTTCCAAAACCTCATAATTGCTGTGGTCTTCAGTGTCTCCATTCCATTCAACTTCCAACTCATACAATTTTGTCTTCTTGTCCAAGTTTGCCCTACTCACAACAAATAATGGTAAGGTTTGGAGGGAAGTTAAATGCCCAATCTCTCTTGGCATCAGCTTTTCACTGTCAAAATAAAAATGTCTTAAGCTGATCAAATTTCTCATCTCATCAGACATTTGCAGAGAAGAGCACCCCATAAGTCTAAAAGTCTGCAATTTGTAGAGCTTGAAAAAGGATTTTGGTAGTGATTTTATCCTGCTTTCAGAGATGTCAAGGTATTTCAAATGCTTCAAATTGCCAAGAATAATGGGCAACTGTTCTCCCTGAGCTCCCACTATCTTTAAAGCTCGCAAGCTTTTGAGATCAGATGCACTGGAAATGAAAACATCAACCTCAACCAAGAACAAAGAATGCAATCTTTGAGCAACAGCTCTGGGAATGATTGGAAGCTTGTTCTTGTCATGCTTAACTCTTAAATGTCGAATTTTAGCATCCTGGTCAATTATGCAACCAGTCTCCCAGATAAAAGTATCACCTTTTGAAACAGACAGAGCTAAATCATGCACTGTATCATGCATTTTGCAAGATATGATATTCCCATATTCATCCCTGTACACATCTTGAAATAAGGAGTTAGATAACAAATCACTAAAGTAATCATTACCAACATCCTCCATTGTCACAAAGCTTTCATTAGGTTGGTAAAGAAATCCCTGAGCCATCCAGAGTTGAACTAAATCATCTTTTGCAATGACAAAATCCTTTGCAAAAATTGAACAGTAAGAAAAGCATTTCTTCAAAGGAGAAGTCAAATGATTGAAACTTATTTTCAGAATAGATAAAATCTTATCTCCATCTGGTGATTTCAAATTCCATGCTTTATCATCCCTGATTTTCTTCCATTCATCTGCACTAGTTTGATGGCTCAATGTTCCTCCAATGACACTAGCAACTAATGGCAAACCTCCACATTTTTTTGCAATATCCTGTCCAATAGCTTTCAAATCAGGAGTCATTGAAGTTTCTGTGGATGATCTACGAAATTTCTCTTCTATTATGGACCAGCATACGTCATCTGGTAACCCTTCCATGTCATGGCGTTGCATAGGAACTAACTCCATTGCGGATGCTACCTTTCCACTGCGAGTTGTTATGACAATAGAGCTCCCAGTAGTATTCAGAATTTTTAACAAACAAGAGCTGAAATGTTCCCCCTTGTCAGGATCTTCATTCCATACATCATCAAGAATGAGAAGAAAAGTTTTATTCTCTAATTTTTTTGCAAGATCTTCAAGCAATGCATTAACACTAATCCTTGGAGGAGCACTACAACCAAAATGCTCTGACATCTCTTGCAAAATGATTTGATCATTAAAGCCCTCGGATACACACACCCAGGCCGCTAAATCATAGAGCTTTTCTTCCTTTGCTTTCCTGTATACTGATTTTGCTATTGTTGTCTTTCCAATCCCAGCCATGCCCACAATAGATATGCCAGAGATGGGATGTTGACTCCTTCTCGAGTCACGCAACAAGCTAAGAATTCTTGAGACATCAGCTTCCCTTTCGAATACTGTGGAATGATCAAGAAAAGAATCTGTCTTTTGATGTTGCCTCGGAGAAGTTTGGCCTCTCAATGAGACCACTAAGTTGATCATGCTGGCCCAGTCTTTCAAGTCATTCAACTGCTTAGTAATGTTGTTGATTTTGTCAGCCATACGATTACGAAACAAGGGAGAAAAGTAGACGGACTCAGGATTCCAGTGCTTCCCACTCTTAACTTTGTTCTTAAGAACCTTGTACTCAAACTCACCCAATGCATCCACTGCCTCATAAGCTACGTCTTTCAGCTTCTGTAGCCAACGCCTTATAGCTGGGTCACTTTCTTGCCTTTCCTCTGCGTGTTGGATGACAGATTGAATGAGAATAAGAGAATCGCCAAGCCTATCAAGCTCCTTTTCCAAACCCACTGCAAGTGCAATTCGTTTTTCAAGAAATGAAAATGTTTTGGAAACTGCCTCCTCAATGACAGGGCTGAAGATGGTGAGGGCGATTTCAGCCATTATGATTGGACACAGAGGGAAAGATTGCAAACACAATTGAACTCTGAGACACAGAAAAACATGCAGAATAATGTTACATGAGCAGATATGTATATGGTGAAAATGAAATATACAAGAAGATTATGTAAGAATTTCATTTGAGGAACTTACAGGAGAAATAATTCGATATTTTGTGCTTTTTTACTGATTTCTCCTTTTCAAATCTAATTAAGCAAAAGGTACGCCTTGTAAATTAGATATCAATACATAAGATGGAGTTGCAGAACAACTGAAAAAGAAATGAACAGATTACAAATTAAACAGAAACCAAAGAAATTAAATGTTTTTGACTAATAAGCATCGACGTAATGTTGTACTTTGAAGCAATAGAATAACATGGAGTATATATTTTTATATATAATATTTGACTAATGGAAAGTGAAAAAAATAAAAAAATAAAAAGGGATTGCAGACGCAATAAAAGAAATCAGCGTCTCATGCTTTCAACAGTTTTGCTACCACATAAAAGAAATTAAAGCACGGGAAACTAAAAAAGACATCTAATTTAAAATTTAAAATTTACTCTCATAATTATATTAGTTATATCTATTAATGGTATGACTTACTCTTACAATATCTCTATCATGATATAACTTTCTGTTATATATATATACACACATGATAAAAAATATATATTAGTTTTTACTCTTAAAATAAATTAAAATTTTATCTTAAATGATATCATTTTATTTAATTAAAA